GGATATACATATAGTGGACCTGAACGGGTAGCCCAGCCCATATAGGCGATAGGGCCTGACTGCATACATCTGTTGTCTGGCAATTCTACCAAATTATTCATATACGGCCCATCAGGCCCAAGTTTTCTCCTCCAGGCCTACCATGCATTAAAATTTCTTAAGGTTATTTTTTTACCCACATAAAATTGATCTGTCAATCGGAGCAAACTAAACTTTGTTAATTGATGGATAGTTTGTTTTCCATCTCGAGGGGTGAAGCTATATAAAGTAGTGTTAAGGTTCTCGTAAATTCAATAAATAACAAACCTTAAATAAAATATGTTTTAAGATATAGTAAATTTATATTTATTTCCGATAATGAGAATAATAGCATTAAACTCAATAAAAGTAATTTGAAAAATTGGAAAAATAGTATTTCATTTCAGCAAAAACATTGTCTAGAAAATAAAATTTGTAAATTTTGCGTTATCAAGAAAACCATCATTAAATAAATGAAATAACTTCAATTTGACACTTATGTACTTTTTCTTTAGATGTTTAATTTTATTGATTACTTTGGCTAAATTAAAAAATAAAAAACCATTTTGCCTTGTTGCGATATCTTTATCATTCCAAAAGTTTCAATGCTATTCTTAACTTTTCATACTAGGATCTGGAACGACGTTGCAATTGTCGTCTCAAATTTGTTTAAAAAGTCTTCGTTCTCCATTGTCAAGAGAGTCTACTTCTCTATTGTCTTCTAAATTTGCCATAGTTCCCTTTAAAAAATGACAGCTTCTTCCCCACATTTCAACTCTTTTTAAGACTTAATCCAAGTACATGTTAACGTTAATTATCACGTCATTTTAGATTCTATCATGCTGCTAACTTTTGTCCAAAATATTAACAAATATTTGATAAAGGGATATTCTTGAAATATTTATGGTACATCAATAATAAGATGGAAACTCTTGAAAGGATACAAGTATCTTTCAATAAAATTTTTTTTTTCTTTTTTTAGTAGAACAAAGTTGAAATTTTTTTAAATATAATTTAGCCATTTATTTGTGACACTAAAAGAAATTACTCTGTCTCTTTCTCATAATTTGAGTGAGTTTATTGGACAGGAATAGTGGGATGTTGGGTGGAGCTCATGCGTACAGTGGTTGTCTTTTCTATTATCAAATTATAGGAAAAATAATGATAACTTGTTTGAATTTAAAACATAACAAATAATTCGATTCTATCTATAAACCCTAAATAGCCAATCATTTATTCAACATTAAACATTACTACAAATTATTCTATTTTCTATTTATTCAACACATGTTTGCTTCCATTTATATGAGCTGTCGAATAGCACTACATGTTTTTTAAAATTCTAAAATAGACCAAAAAGAAAAAAAAAATAGCGGACATAATCAAATTTGGAAAAATCCTTATAAGATGTTTGGAAAAATAATATATCGAGTATTTTTTTTTTTTTTTACCTATTTAGTTACCTTGATAACTCGATACTTCTTTTTTCAGGAAAAAAAACCCCTTAAAAATTATTAGCTCTCAACAATAATAACATAATTATTTATAATTAAATATATTTTTTTCCATATAAGTCATTCTTGTTGCAAAATTATATTCACCCACTCGTGATTCAAAACTTGCCTTTTTAAGTTTTATATAGAAATTTTCTTTTCACAGCATAAAAAAAAATTTAGAAACAAAATGTTAATTGACATCATTAATAGAAAACATTGTAATTTTTTTAATACAACCAATTACTGTTTCATTAATTCACTGCAGTTGTTTCTTTTAACTTACCGTGCCTGAAATTAAAATTGACCGAAAAGAAAGGAAAAAAGAAAAGAGAGAGAGATAATTCGCTCAAACAAAAGTATTAAGGACAGTAAAATGGTAAATCCAAAGTAAAGCATTTTATAAAGTAACCTATTACATGAAATTATAAATTAAGGTTAAAAAAATGGGCCGGAAATTAAAATTACCAGCGATCATACTTGGATTTGCCTCTTCCTCCAAGATCCGATCCTGCCAAAATTTGCAAATAGTCTCACAATTTTGATTTTCTTGAGCTTCTGCTTCGTTTCGCCCACCACGGCGGCAACCACGGTGGTGGAGGTCGTGGATCCCACTGCATGGGACGACGGCGCCGGTGATGGGATGGAATCGGAGGAGTGGAAGTGGGAGACTTTGTTGAGGAAGAACCGCCGTGATCCGCCGTGATAGGGCGGCGGCAATGCCATGAGATTCCGGTCGATGACGTGGCCGAGGGAGGCCAGCTCGTAGGAGTCATATAATGGACTGCCACAGTCCCAAACACCCAATGCCATTGAGAATTGAGATGAGATTCAATTCTAAATTTCTATGAGCCTTTTTTAATCTCGCTTTTGAACGACAGACAAATTTTTTTAAAAAAAATCACTTTTTTTTTCACTTTAAATGGGCGATTTTGCACATTTCCATGCCCTCAAATTAGAGGACAAAGATTCTTCAAACTAATCATATACTTACGTTTTACAATTAGTTTAAACGTTCATATATTTTGATTAGTTTTAAAAATAACAAAATGGTATGATTTGTATATTAATTATTTACCAACTATAAAAGTGTATAAACTACATTTAAAATAAATTAAATAGTATGATTGATATATTTAGGATGTGTTTAATTGGTAACCTAAAAACATAATTATAAAAATAAGGAATTCAATGAAAAACGGAATTATATATCTTAATGTTAACGGGAACAAAATGAGTTTATAATCTAAAATAATAGATTTAACAAAAGTATTTATATTTTTAATATAATCATGCATTTTAAAGTTTGAAATTTAAAATCTGAAAATACTGAAAATAACATAGAAGTCTTTTTACTTTTTTGGAACACAATATCCAAAAAAAATTTATATTATTATGGATTTAGTGAATCTCAAAATTCGGATTGCATCCAAATAATAATAATTATTATTATTATGGTTGGAGAAAAAGAAACCCTTATTTGTTTTATCTGAATTAATTTGGAATAATATATAATTGATTAGCCAATTTGATCAGATCATTGAACTTGGATGTTTATTTCGGTCATCTGTAAAACTGCCCCTCGGATCGATGAATGATGAGGGATATTATGGTCTTTCCGAAAGGAGTTGCGGGCCCCGTTTAATAACAAAAAAAAAAAATAGAAAACACAATTAACAAACTAATAATACTAATAGTAGGCTAAATATTATTATTTTTTTAATAAAATGTTAATATTTTTTAAAGAGGAATCTAATTGAAAATATTTGATACTTTAATAATAAAAATTATAAATTTTAAAAGCTCAATAACCAAACTAAGAATTAACTAAAGGATTGATATAATTAACTATATTATTATTATTATTATTATTAAAATAAGAGCATAATAGGGTTAACTAAAAAGACAAATTAATTAATGAAGATAATGACTTTTTTTAGACAATTAAGATAATGACTACACAGTAAGCCATTGCTGTCTTATATGATTTATCTTGATAATTAATTTTCCGAATATGATTTTATGTGTGGCATCGAAATGTAGTCTCGATTTTTAAAATAAAAAGTAAAAAAAAATTTATAAAAGTAATTCAAATGTCCGATCAAAACCATAGTTGGGCTAGCCGGCAGGCATTAAATAACTTGAATTTTCTTTAATAATAATAATATAACCAAGAAGAAAATGACTCAATATATTCATATTATTTTTTAAAATTTGCTTTAAAAGTAGAGTTCATGTCGCGGAGAATATAGTTAAATATCATCAAACTATTTTTTAACGAAATTCATTAGTCACGTGCAAACTCAACTTTTGTTACATAACCGAGTAGACCAGGGAGTATCCCCAATCTTTACATTTCCCATGTATCTATTATCATCCTTTAGAACTTTAATTCCTTTACAAATAGTTATCGTGTTCAAAATTATGATTTCCCTTCTTCTCTGTGACAAAAACAACTAGTAGAATACTAGGTGAGGATGATTTCACTTTCTAATGTTGGACCACACACCCTAACTCGTCTTTTCTTTCGTTGTCAAACCACATTGCATCCAAGTTTAGTTTCCTGGCATTTAGTAGGTGGTAGGGGTCATTCTATCTCTATATATATTTACATATGTTGCTTCTTGATTGTACGTAGTTCCTCTCATTAACACAATAAAACTAAATAATGACATGACACCTTTAACGGGTCGGACCCATTGTTAAATATAATCCTTACATGTCAATAGGTGGACAGTGGAACAAAAGACAAAATTACACCTTTAACAAAAGGGAAAAGAAAAAACCCTAAAGAAAAGCAACAAACTTTACAATATGGTTAGGTTTAGTAGTTTAATAAATCTTTGTCATAAGCATGGTGGAAGTTTAGTATTAATAATATTAATGGTGAAAGTGGTATTTTGCTTTGTAATTAAATTAAATACAAGTTGGTCTCATCTCATTGTTATTAAAAGAAATTATGAAATTGGGTCCATATTCTAAGTTTTCTGTCTAGATCTGAAGACATCCAATCCCACTGTTACACGTGCCAACAAGGCAACTTCTGAATCTAGACCAATGTGTGTTCCCGCCGACGAATCAAAGTTCATTTCCCATTTTCAAATGAATCTCTAGAATGCAAATTTAATGAATTTCATTGAAATAAATCATCAGATTTGACAACAATATATTTTTTTATGGTACATCGTCTAATCAATATACGGTTGAATTAAAGTACTATTATTGACTTTATACAATGAATGTTCCAGCTTTTTTCTAGCTTGTAATTGAACTTATCCGTACTTTTTACTTTTACATTTAGCCTAATTTTGCCAAAGTACTTTTACCATTAACTTTGATCTTCTTATTTTGGTAAAGTTTTTAAAAATTTTATTTAACAGATAAGATCATATCATTGTGGAGATACTCGGGGTAAGAGAGAAATTACAATGATCAAATGATATATATATATATATATATATATATATATATTTTTAGTACAACAAGTAGAAGTGAAGGATTCGAACACGTGAGCTCATGGTCAAAGGTAGATGCCAATTACAGCTGAACTAAGTTCATGTTGATGATATTTAAACCCTATTTAGATTAGACGGTGAAGATTCTATATTTGGGTTGATTTTTAAAAGGTAGAAAAAGGAAAGCTTATAACTAGAATTTGAATATTACATTATACAAGAGAGAGAGAGCACATGGTGTGGGGAGAAGTAAAAGAAAAACTAATAGGCAGTACTGAAATAGGAGTTAACGACATTGGCGCACAAGATCTGCAACACAGTTGTGTTGGTGGGGATAACACAACGGGGTGTTTTGTATTGGCTCACAGCGGCCCCTAGCGACAAATAGTGGTCCATGATCTTGTGAAAGGTCCCCTTCCGGACCACCCTCAGCTCCAGTGCTCCAATGGCATTCACCTTCCTCGAGCTCACGTACCCTGCGTCCAGGAACGCCCGGTCCAGGCAGTTGCAGCACTCCCCCAGGACCTCCCCCTTCGCCTCTCCGCTCGTCTCCCAGAATATCACGTAGTGCCCTGGCTCTCTCGACATGTCGACATGGCTCGTGAAGTCCACCACCTCCAGCTTCTCCTCCGCCAGCAGGCTCCCGGCTGCCTCGACCGCCACCTGCAGGTCCTTCTCCGTGTTCTTGTCGATGTTGATGCTAAGCAGAAGGTTCCTCCTGCACACGAATTTCACCTCTGGGGTCGCGTTATGGAACCCCATCACCTTCACCACATCCCCCAGTCTGTAACGGTACAGCCCTATAATGCAATGTCCATAGTTAATATCTACATTAATGCCAGTGGAGACTTCTAGAGTACAGTTCGAATGAAAATAAATTCGGTTTTATCAAGCGGGTTTAGGTTTAAAGTGGACAATTCAACGTCTCGACGACACGTAGGACAGAAGAAGACAAAGCAAGAGGCAGAGATTGATCCTGCAGACCCCCCCAAGGTCACATGGGGAGCATTGAAACAAACAAGAGATTTTAATAATCCAACATAACATATGAATTGGATGGTGAGTCAATAATATATTTTGGGAGCACAACTGTCACCCAGTCATCCTATTCATTCATGTTTGGTTTGGAGGAAACAAAACAGGGTTATAGCGCATAATGTCATGAATTGAAAGGAATTACCTGCGACATTGGTGACAATAATTTCGTACTCTTCACCAACCTTGACTTCAGTCAGACCCACTGGCTTGTTCTCTGCTGCAACCAAAGCTCCATCTTCGTTCTGCTTCTGTTCTTCAGCACTCTCCTTTAATGGGATGAACTCGAAGTATCCGATGTTCGGAAGAACCACAAAGGTGGCCATTTCAGGGGGCAACATTGGGTTAACATTTGCTCCAACCCATCCTTCTGAAGAACCATAATCTGCACTCATCAGCAGCAGATCACCTGCGTAGTGCCTCAGTTTCTTCAGATAAGGCTCCATCGACCCGGTCATGATCCCGTAAATGTACTTTGCGTTAGGAAAGAGCTCCGGTATCAGTCCATACCAGTTACTCAACCCTGCGCATTTTCGATAGATCAAATCTGCCAATTCAGGATTTGGCCTAAGCAATTTCGACATAGCTGCCCGAATGGTGGGGGCGGTGACCCAACTAGATAGAACACCATCTCTAATGTTGCTGCAGAGTTCTTCCCAGACTAGCTCAAAAGTCCTGAAAGCATGGACAATGCTGTGTGCAAATGTGGAGAACACAAACTCAACTTCATCGCGGAAGATCAGCCCACACAAGAGATGGCAATACAGTGACTGGTGGAAGTCGGGGCCAAAGATGACTTCGTCCGGGCTACAGCACAGCGACTGGATCGCTTTCATCGTGCACTTAAACTTCGCACTGCGGTAAACATTTGTTGTTGCAGTTCCAGCTGCCAGACCCCCTTTGGTTTTGAACTGCTTGCTGCTGTAGATGAACTGCAAGGCCTTTCCATTCCTAATGGGAAATTCTCTGTAGAACAAAAAAACTCTCCCCACATCAGCCATGACAAGCCCATTTTTATACTATTAAGATGACAACCGACAGTCAAAAAGACAACAAACTGCATTAACCATGTTCATTTCAGACAAGAAATGATTCAGAGGCCAGACTACAAACAACGTCCAAACAGGAGACACAAGAACAGAAAAGAAGTTCCATTACTTGTTTCTGAAGGCAAAAGAAGTGCGATATATTTGCATTGTCGTCTCCAAGAGTTCATCGTTGAAGGGAATCAACTTGGGCCTCCCCTGAGTAGTACCAGAGCTACATCATACAGCCAACAAAACAAGAATCTCCTCAGAAAAGGAACAGCAACAAAATCTCCAATACTTGGAATCAAAAGCAAAACTTCCTCAGCACAAATTTGCAAAAAGTACCTCAATGAAATGGTTTTGATCGGTTTGCCGGTGAGAATGGGGGAAGTGGCGCCATCCGCGATTCTCTGAATATATGGCTCCAAATCATTGTGAGTAACAAGGGGGACACAGTCCTTGAAGCTCTGAGGATCAGTTCTTCCATTAAGTCCCAAGCTCTGCAAGTACTCAGCCGACCCATTTTCCTCCAAAATCTTCTCAAGAGTCTCCCTCTGAACTCTTTCTGCATCCTTGGTCATCTCCTCGAATTGCTCTATCACTTTCTCCCCATCAAATGCTTCCATTTTATCCAACATTATTCTTGCCGGACGGCGAACTGTTGCATAAAAACAACAACGGAGTGAACGGAGGTCAGATTTATATCAAGCCAAGCATATTTGTAAGACAGCATAGGGCTCCAAACTGCTCCATAAGGCATTAAAGATAAAGATTAGACACAAAACGTGAATAACGAAATGTTTACGTAAGAAAATTGAGAGATGGACAAAAAAGACAGAAGGGGTCTAGGAGATAAGATAAAGGAAACTACAAGCATCCGGAAAATTTTATTTGGGAATTGAAATTTATTGCAAAACCCAAGAGGAAAGAAAAGTAAGAGAGAATATGTAGCAAACTCGTGGATATGCATCTAAGTCAACATTTGAACAGAAACCTTGAGAAAAAGCAATCACAGCGAGAGGAACTGATTGATTGGATTGAAGACTTCTCAAAGCAGAAGCACAAACGTTGCTCGAAGATCTAAAGTTTTCTGGTGGAATTCAACCAAGTCAACCTTCGAAAAATTTTCCAGGAAAATACAGCAGAAACCCACGAACAGAACTAGACTGCAACTGCAACCCAGACCGTTTTCAGGACCGACCAAATGACATTAAAAAAACCCACAATTCAAATGTAAAATTTAAACAAACAAGTAACTTAGAAAAATTAACTCCTGTGGACAAAAAAGGCAGGTTACAGGTAGGAAGTCGTCAACGAGGATTAAAATAACATAGACTTTTCAGAGAAAAAAAAGACTCAGAGGAAGAAAGGCAAAAACGGATTAAAGAACAGAGCACGCAGAACAGAACGCAGCAAACCAAGGAACTAGAAGAAGAAGAAACAATCCGAATTCATTTGATACATAGAATCAAACTAAATTAAACATTCCAAATTCCAACAAACGCCGCGGTATTCGCATCCAGGGCACAGTAAATCAAGAAAAAAAATCGACCGGAAAACACTCGTGCCCTTGCAAGTTCACTCGAGAAATCGAAAAACAAATTACCTGAAACCGTACTGGAAATGGAAACTACTGGAGAGTGACGCAGAACAAGGCTTCGGAACAGTCGACGGAGACTTTTGGTGGACAAAGTATCAAAAAAATCTGCAGAAACAGGTACGAAGCTTGTTACTGAACGCACCAATGGAAGACGACCGTCCCTCTCTCAAGGTTCTAGAGAGAGAAAGAGAGAGATTACAGAGCTTTACTTGGCTGCAAATGAGAGAGACACGGAAGTGGATGCGATGGAAGATTCTAACGGGCAGTCAAATATATTTATAGGCCTTCCCCCGGTGGCCGATGCCGTCCAAATACGGCGCTCAAATCCCCATTCTACCCCTGCCTCTCCACTCCAATTACCGCCCCCTTTCTGGCCGGTGGGTGGAGCTGCCGGATTCTGTACTCTTCTCGGGTCGGGTTATTTCACAATCCGGGTTTTATTTTTTAAAATTTTATTTACGGAAATGGGATCTGACGGAAGGGAGGATATTAGAAGGCTGGCCGCGTTTCTAGCCCACTTTGGAACGTTAGATTTGGTGTTTTTTCTTTTCTTTTTTTTTTTCATTTCCAAATTTGAAAATAAATGTACAGTTTCTGTATTAATTTCCACGCTGTTCAGTTCTTTTAACTTGCCAGATTTGGGTTTTTTTTTCCTTTTTTCAAGTTCGAGATGTGGATAAGATTTTTAAGTTGTCGTAATATTTTATTATTTAATTATTTGATTGTTATTAGATTGCTCCAATGGAATAAATTCTAAGCTAAATATATAAAATGCCCTAATTGTTTTTCAAGGGATTCTTAATTTTGTTCTTCTTCTTTAAAAAATGTTAAAACTTATTTTAATTGTATCGATTTTTCTCAGTTGAGTCTTCATTAAAATTTAAAAAAAAAATCTCTTACGACATACCAGTGAGATATTATTAAATTGTTATTTTATTATTAAGTTTAAATTTAAGTGGAGTTTCATATAAAACCCGATCTAACCAACCCACCTTTTTTTTCATCATTTGGATAGTGATTTTAAACTAATATAAAATCAATTTTGTCAAATATGATCAATGAAAATGAGAGTGATTTTGATCGACGACAAAAATCACTCTCAAACATCACTGTAGTCTCAATTTCTTTAGCACGAGGCTTTAGTTTTTTAAAGTGTTTTTGGCATAGAATCTTTTATCATTTTCCTGTGGAAAGGACGATTCAATTGAGGATGACAAAGCGTGTATATTTGTTCAAAGACATAAAAGGTGAATGAATATGCTTAGTTATTTTGGCATTGGAAGGTAGCTTGTTGGCTAGTACTGTGGGAGGGATATGTTTACTTTGTTGGTGGATAAGTCAAAATTAGATGACACATCCACATGTTTAATTAGTTCAAATAATATGCCTACATGGTCTAAATCCTAAATCAATAAATGAAATAATGATTTAGCGATATTTTATCGCTTTGTTTTAGTACGTGTGAGAGTGAAAATTCGAACTCACAGCCATTTTGGTCTGAGATGAAAACCTTAACCAGTTGAACTATGTTTAGATTGGTTGTTTTTATAATTGTTTAGTGTATTTATTAATTGTTTATGTTTTAAATGATATATGGTTCTATATTTTGTTGGTGGTCCCTTTTTAAGTTAGATTATATGATGGGATAATTGAAGAAAAAATATTGTCTAACAAATTTAGTAGTCATGCCATACATGGTAGTTGATTTTACATGGTATCTTCTTTTCTATAATTATTATTTTGTTTTTTATTGATAACTTACCATAAATTGCAATATACATTGTATGATTATTCTAATAACATCTATGATTATATTTTGGTCTTTTTTTGATAAAACCCATTTAAGATTTTGATTCTATTTTTTTTTATAACAAATGACGTAGGGTAAAGATTTGAACCTCTAATTTTAAGATATTTTGATATATGCTCATTGTATTATTACATAAGTTATTAGACAGTGACAAAAAGAATAATATAAAATTAGGGACAAGTGAAAGAATTTGACTTGAATATCAGATTAAAAAAAAGCTTGTCGATTGCTTAAGTTTATGCACAAAAGATCTATAAGCATCAATTAGTTTAACTTAATTTTCAACACATTACTAAATTGAGTCTTTTATTAACTAATTGTTTTTTTTCCTCATCCAAAATTTTTAAATTAGACAGAAATTTTGATTTCTCAACCTCTTAGGTGACCTAATTCCTCTTTAAATCTTTTTTGACTCGCTAAGCAAAGAAGAAATAAGCGTAGCTCATATTAAGTTAAAAAATTGTATTAAAAGTTGAATGATTGAACGTAAAATTTTACCACTCCCTATACAAATTATAGCTCTGCTCCTACCACTAAATATTAGGTCATGCAAGTTCATTATCAACGAATTTTAATATTTATTTATGAGGATGAAATAATTGAAAAATGTTAAAACATTAGGATCCGAAACATATATTTCGTTTCTTTTTAAATTTAGACCAACTATATTCTAAATTTCAATTCAATTTTATGAAAAATGTTGATGAAAATATCAAATAGAATGTTGATGTCGGTGTATATTTCTAAAACATTATAAAAACAAAGAAATCAATAACAAATAAACATTCCACTATTTTTTAGTACAACATGAGGGGGGATTTGAATCCACAACCTCATAGTTGAATATGTCTTAAGTTAACCTACTAGCTATGCTTTGGTTGACATAAACATTCTACTATTTTAAAACAAGTCAAAATTATTAATACTAATATTACGCTTATGTTGATAATATTTTGTTTATCTTTTTATATTTTATCAAATTTTGTGTGATTCACTCCTATTCATAGACCGACGAAAATGTCAATAAAAATGTTGGCATGGGTCGATAGGAATTTAATATCGGAGACCAAGATTAATTTAACCTTATTAATATCATAATTGGATTGTTATTTATTTTGGGTGGATGGGATGTGATGAGTTGATAATTGAATGTGATTGGTAAAGAATTAAGTTGTGAATAATTGGATTGAGATTGCGTCGGCGGCTGAGTTGAGTTGGGGGCTTGCGGCGGCCGCAAACCACGTCGGCCTTTCTGCCACCGGTTCTAGTCAATTTGATTTATATTTGATTAGTTTTCATCTTCAACCAAATTATCGGCACAAACAGAAATTAAAAAAAAAAAAAAGGATTGTTCTTATCTTTTCAACTAACGAACTATTTTATTTTATTTTATTTGTTACTGTGTGAATTTTAAATTTACTTTCGTCGTCTGTTATTTCCTTAAAATTATCAAAACGTTGTTCTTACTAAGTGCATAATGGAACAAATAAACATATTGGAATTAACATCTCTAAGTTTAATCTTCCAAAATATAAAACAAAAATAAAATAATTATGAAATTGGGACTTAATTTTCAAAATTTGAATATTTTTTTTGAAAAATTAAAACACAAAGAGACTTATTACCGGTGGAATAACCAACTTGGTTCACTTGAAGTAAGACCAATAAAATTATGTGGGTCGAACTACCATGGTTGGACCACCATATCTAACCATACCATACTAGAAACAGCTTGACTAAGTTGGACCACCATATCTTACCAATATCGAATCACCTATTCGAGTCGACTAGACCGATCGAGTTGGTCTACACAAACCAATACGAAGAGATTCTCTTTATAAATAATAGGAGAAGCTGCCATGGATCGCGAGTTATGTTTAATATCCAACTATTTGTTACTCTCAAATGAACATTTTATAGTATCGAAGCATTGTACTTAGCACCATATTAGTATGTAGGTTTCTTATATGTGTAGGTGTTCGAGAATAAGTGTTTACAAGCCTAACTTTAGAAAACGAAAGACGAAATATCGGATGGTTATCAAACGAGACCGACATTTTAAAACAATAAAACTAAATAAAGGAAGGGACGGCCATTTCATTAAAATGTGCAAAAAAAAAAAAGCACAACAGCATCATAATCAAAAAGGGGATATACGTAAAGGTAAAGGCAATTCCGTGGTGGTTCTCTGTCTAGCTAGTCTCTACTTTTATCCAATAATGCCTTTTGTAATCATCAACAAGCTTCCATTTTTTCTTATCTCTCCAATATATCTTTGTACTGTACATCCCAATATTCTCCATTTAGATTGGAAACACACGTTTCCCTTTCGATAATATTTCGGTACCGACTAGTTCTCGTTGAGTATTTGACGTAAAGATAGTCGGTACTCAAATGTTATTCTTTTAATAAACTTGGAGAGAAAGATCAAACTTTCAATTTAAAATAAGATAATAGGTACTTTACATCCTATTGATAAATACATTTTTATTTAACTTTTTTTTGTATATATTAGTATACATCTTATAAAATTATATGTACGTGCATGTTGTTGAACATAAAAAGTACATAAATGGCTCAAAGTGTGCCTAGAAATTAATTGGCATGAGATAAAATGGACGACGTACAGAGAGAGGTTATTAAGAAAAGTATGTGTATGTTATCGAGAAAATATACTTTGTGAGAGAAATTAGGTACAATGGATTTCTATTGTCTTAATTTGTGTAAATTAAATATCTTTTGAATTTAGATATAGATACTGTGAAGATAAAGTTTATCTAAAAAAACTTTAATGAGAGAAGGCGTGTGTAAAATGGAAATTAATTAAAGATGGATTTTTGTGTAGAAGGTGAAACAAAAAAGTACTTGCAAAAGTATATGTTATTTGTGTCGGGTGCTTCTCTTTAAAGGAAGAACGTTCCCCTACCGATGTGCAATAAATCCCTTCGACCAAAGATTAGTGGTAGGTGGTCCCGTGGAGTTTTCAGAGAAGGGTAGTCTTAGTATAAACAGGCTAGCGATAGTTAATTTGTGTAGAGAGATTTTAATGCCAAAAAATGTGTAGATAAAGTTATAAAAAAAATGTACCAAAGAACTTAATGGAGGAAGTACTTGAAAGGTAAGTCAACTAATGAGAAAAGTACTTATTACCATAAAAAACAAGTTAGTATTGAGAGAAATATCAAGACCAAGTACGTAAAGAGAAGTGCTTTCTTTGAAAGTTATTTTTGTAATTTTGAAAAGTTGGCTTTAATCTTGAAAAATTTTCTTAATAAATCTTTTTATCAATACAATTCTTGTTATTGCATAGTACCTTGTATTAGAAAACATTTTAATTTAATAGGAATTGAATATTCTATTAGAGAAAGGATCAACTTTCCACCAAGTCATTGAAACTGTCAAAAGTGCTATATTTTAAATTTCCAACTAAATCCTATCAAATCAAAGTT